AATCTGACGTGACATGTTCGTACGAACCCTTTGTACGAACAAAAGTAAGAGAAATTTAGGATAAGAATACGAACATGTTCTTGCGTGAGGCCCATTGTCTTCACTATGTGCCACAGCACACCATTTTCCAATCCAGACACAAATGCTGTTGTACAATTTGCATGTTTAATTTCAAAGCTGCCCTGAGCTAAAGGACGAGACAATTAGAGGGTTTTTTGTTCTCAGGCTCCTCTCTTGTGGAATTAACTTCCAGTTACTGTCCGTGAGGCTGACAACCTCTTGAGTTCACTTTAACCCCAGCTATTTAAGTCAGAAGGTTGCCCAAACTGAGTCTGGACCTGGTTCTGCTGGAGGTTTCTTTCTGTTAAAACAAAGTCACTTCTTTCAGCTGTCACAAGTGTGCTGCTCAGGATGGGGAGTTGTGTTGAAGTGAAGACTGAATGTGATCTGCTGGCTTCCTTCGATGGATAACTTGTACTAATTGTCATTATATAACGTATGAATGTCTTTAGTACAGAGACCTGAGATCATTTTTGGTGTAGTTATTGCTAAATAAACTAGAGAAATTGCATTTTCTGCAAAAATGCTAGTGTGAATGCCTGTTGCTGAAAACTTTTAACTGAAAGCTGCTGAAGAAGCTGAAATTGAGCTGAACATGTTTAACAGCAAAAGTATTATTGTAAGTTAAATTTGAAAAGCTGAAAGAAGCAAAAAAAATTGCGGAAAATCAGTAAAATGGAGCAAAAATACAGCTGAATTAGCATAAAAAGCGAAAGGCTAAAATAGCTGAAAAAAGCATAAAGCATAAGAAGCAATAAAAATGCAAATTAGCAGAAAGAACAAATTTTTTAAAAAAAGCAGAAGAATAGTAGAAGGAAGAAGGATTTTAGCTGAAATGTCTGAAAAAAAGCTAAAACTAGCAAGAAAGTAGCTAAAATTGTCACAAAAAATTTTAAAGAATCAAAACCAGAATATGATTTGTAAGGTTCTGTAATGATTTAGAAACATTATGAAGAAATTTAAGGATGTTGGGAAAAAAAAGCTCCATTCATTTCCAATGGGAAAAAAAATAGCCGAAATAGCTTTGGCTACAGTTGTTGAATTTTTTTGAAGCTTCAGTATGTGATAGAGCTTGCTCTCAGCTACCAGTACATAAGTTTTCATGTCAATATCTCAAACATTGACTGAGTAAAAGGCCTTTAAAAATAGCTTTGGTGGCCATCTTGGATTTTTATTTCAGCTGCAGTTTATCATAGAGCTACAGTAAGTATCAGGTACCTATATAATGATTTTTAGCTCATATCAAAAAATTGGCCAAATTCGAGTAATTTGAACTAACTTTAGCTAATAATAGCTCAAATTTAGCTAAATTTGTAGAAAATAGATGAATATAGCAGAAAGAAACCATAAGTAGTTTAAACAGTACAAATTAGCAGAAAAAAGTATTACGAAGTAGAAAAAGCAGAAGAATAGCAGAAAGAATTAGAATTTTAGCTAATAAAGCAGTAAAAAGTTAAAGCTAGCATAAAATAAGCTAAAGTTAGCAGACTCAAGTTGACAGTAGCACCCAGATGGTGAAATGATTGTAAAAAATTCAAAATTAGCAGAAAAAAACCTACTAAAATGTGATCATTTGAAGTAAAATAGGTAAAACAACCGAAGTTTTTAGTAAAACAGCTAAAAAGCAGATGAAACAATTCACTTAGCATAAGGATGCATAAGGAGCAAAAGTTTGCTCAGTTTTGCAGTATTAAGTTGAAATAGCGCCAAAAAATGTACACTTATCTTAGACAGCTAACTTTGGCTGAAAAAAGTATAGCAAAGCAGAAACAAGCAGATAAATAGCAAAAAGAAGTAGAATTTTAGCTGAAATAGCAGAACACAGCTAAAATTAGCAAAAAAGGAGCTAAAATTTGCACAAGAGAGTAAAATAGGCCATAACCAGAACAAATTGTGTAAGGTTTTGTAAAGATTTAGAAACTATTTGAAGGATTTTAAGGTTGTTGAAAATAGCCCCATTCAAAGTCAATGGGAAAAAAAGAAGCTAAAAAGTTGAAATAGCTAAAAAAGTATAAATAGCTAAAACACCAAAAGTCATAGTTGGCATTGCACAAAAGAGCTGAATGTTCTGATATATGAATGGTTCAAGTAGCACAAAAATTGTGGAACGAGAAAGGTGCCGAAAAATTTACGGAAAAAAAAAATGATCTGAATGGTGAGAATGCCTACAATAAACCAAGCAGGCAGCTTTAATGCTTCATCATGGGAACCCTTAATCAAATGTACAGGAACATATGAAGACATCCTCCTAAACGTGTTCGGTCTATTTCTTGAATAAAACTACGACTGAATCTTTTCTTTAAAGTGTTAGGTTTCACCTTTGAACAGGTTGAACTCCTCATCCAGCTGCAGCAGCTTGAAGGCGCTCCTGGCTCTCCAGCCCTCCTCTTTGGCAAGACGGTAATAAATGTCCCGCTTGTCTTTGGAAGAGCGACCCATCCTGACCTCTGACACACACACATGTATGGTTATCAACCATCAGAAACTGAAATAAAGAACATTGACTGGACAGGACGGAGCAGAAGGACGGAGGACATTTTTGTCTCAACAGATAAGACAAACAGAATTGTGAGACGCTGATGGTAGAGATGTTGACATGTCGTCAGCAGCTGCTGCCGTTTTCTTCCCAAACTGCTGTGACCAGACTGTACAAGGCTGCTCGGTGCGTTCGCTTGTAATGTCCTCCTGCTTCATTATTTCTACAAATTTCAACAAACCGGGCTGCCGTGAGGTAGTTAGCTACAGCCTCGAGATTTTAATTTTGGTTGATGTGTTTTAAAGACACATTTTTGAAAATAGGATCAAAGTAAATCACCTGAGTTTTTCTAGTGACGCCTTAAAGAGATAAGCTGCCATGAAGAACATTATTTTATCTGCCCTTCTTCCAAATTTGATTATTTGAAACGTCAAAGTATGTTTTTTTATCCAGAACAGTGCTTGTTGCAAAGTGTTTTGTTGCTCGTCTTCATCACCTGACACATTTAACACGCTGTCATTGGTTGAGGAGCTTTGTTTATTAAACAAAATGTCCACATGGTTTTTAAATTGTTTTCATTTCCTTACTTCCTAAGACACATTAAGTTGATTTGATGCTACAGTTTGCCTTGTAATATTATATTATAGATTTTCTGCTACTTTTGAATTGGCTATTATTAAGTTTTATTAGTCTTTTAGGATACAAGATGCTTCCTACAAAAACCAGAATGAGAATCTTTTCCTAAAATTTCATGGTGATGTCTTGACCACTGAGGAAGTTATGAATAAAAATGGAAACAACAAGGTGAAATGGTCACAAAGGCCCCATTGGTGAACTGCAGCAAGAAAACATGAGCTGATTTCACCTGAACAAACATCAATAACTTCCCTCATACTTCAGATAATCACAGGATTTTGGTTTTATTTTGTATGGTTTGAAATGTTCTTCTGGAATCCGCTGTCAGATTTAATATTGGTGTAGGATTAAAATTTATCCACATCCCTACTGATGGCATAAAGAAAAATGCACTAATATTTATCAGACATGTTCAGGCCTGCGTTAGAATTGTGAACAAAAGAAAAACACAGGAAGCATTTTTGAGTTTTAGCTGCCTTAATTTAGGTGGTGCTCTGCTCATTTTAGCATTGAAAACCCATTTGAAACCTTTTCAGCTAATTGTAGCTTGTTTGAAATAATTTTCTTTAAAAAAAGTCCTATCGACAGAAAACAGCTGAACAACATACTAGCTTTAATCAAAAAATGTCGGTGACGCTGTTCGGTCTTATGTTTCAGTTAAATGTACTTATCTTAGCCTTACTATATACAGTCAAACAGCACATGATTCTACGGCTGGTAGTTTAGATATTTGTAAATTTGTTTAGAAGTTCAGTACACAACGTTGACACACATCAGATGAATATTTACTTACATCGATTCACGTTCCTGGTTTTGGACAGATTGAAGGACCCCTAGTTACCCTAATGACGCCTGTCCAAAAAAATTCTTCTTCTGTGAGGTTTAACGGCAGTTTACATCCATTTGGTGTATTACCGCCATCTACAGGAACT